CTGGTGTTTTCCCGGGCGTGTCGCAGAGGTGCTTCTCATTGGGGAGGTGCTCATCGACTACGATCATGGCGGCAGGGGGAAGGAGCTTCAGGAGAACGTGGGGCCGCGGGTGGTGCTGCCCTAGCGCCCGAGGAAAGTGCCCTTCAGCCTGATGATGTGGCGGAATGTGGGTTTTGGGAAGGAGGTGGTCGAGAGGCTGCGCGTGCGTTGGCGCGACTGTGGGCACGTGCTGCGGGCGCTGTGCGCGTTTGCTGGCACGTGCGGCCCCCAGCGCCTGGGCGGGACTGCGGAGGAGCCCATGCACAAGTATTGCGATCCGCGCCTGTTTGACGTCCTGCCAGACGACGAGATCATCAGGTGCTATGCGCCGAGAGCGGGCGAGGACGCCGCCGTGCTGTCGGGGTACGAGGCAGGGGGGCCGGAGGTGCCCGGGCCGGTGACGCGGGCTGAGGCTATTTCCAGGGATTGCGGTCTGGCAGGCGTCGACGTCGCCACGCCGCGCCAGTTCATTTCCGCTGGCTTTAACGTGCACTTCGTAGGGCAGCGCGATGAGGCCGGGCGCGAGACGACAGGCCGCGATGGCGACGGCGCGCAGGGTGGCGACGGCGGCGCTGAGGCCGTGGCCGACGATGATGCCGAGGATGCCGATGAGAACAAGTTCGACGTCGGGGACGGAGACGAGGCCATGGCCGTGGATCACGACGTGTTCAGTGCATGGCTCGACAAGGCGAGTTCGTGTACGGCGGGGCTGTGCAGCGGTGGTGGGCGGGGCTGCAGCCAGAGGCGGAGGGCCAGTCGGAGGGGCTGAAGTTTGGCGATGATGAGACGACGGAGGTCTCGGCGGCCCCTCGGCCTCGCTGGTCTCGGACCAGGGGCTGGGCCGCTCTGCGGCCCCCCTGTCTGCCTCGCTTCCCGCTGCGCCTCGCCCAGCTCGAGCTTGGACCGTTCTGGCTGGCTGCCAGCCCCCCTCCCCGGCTCTGCAGCTTGGGCGCCGCCCCCCGCCCGCTTGACATTCGCGTGGCCCCGCCCGGCGCTGGGCCGCCAGCCCTTGCGGCCTCTCCTCTGCCCTGGCCCGCGTCGGCGTTCTGGCGCTTTCGGGTGATTCCTTGCCGCCCTCTGCCCGCCTATCTTGGGCGCCGCCCTGGCACCCCCGCCGCTGTGCGCCCAGCGCCTGCCCCGCCGCCCCTCTGCTCGCTGGCGCCTCAGCGCTGCCCTCCCCTGCCGTGGCACCAAAGTGCGCGTGCGTGCGCCGGTGCTTCATGCGGGAGCCGGGCGGCCAATCGGCGTAATGGCGCGATCTGTATGTAATTTTCAAGCGAAAGACAGTGGGCGCGCTTGCTAATAATGCGCGACGTTGTGCAGGCGCGTGCAGCGGCGGGGCAGGGAATGATCGGCGCGCTCGCATGTGCGCTGCGCGGCGCCTCGGCCGAGCGCAGCGCGGCGATGCGGGGTGGGTTCGCTCGCTCTCATCCGTCTGTCTGCGCTATGGAGCGGAGCGCGAGCGGCTGCATCAGCGACGCCCCGCTCCAGGTGCGGAGGGCGTTTTGTTGGTGGAAGAGGCGTGGGGCGCCGCGTTGCATTGAGCTGTGCCCTGCCCCGATGAACTGCGTCGTGTGCTCTGATGTTGGCGTCCGAGTTCTGACTGGATTGACGTGGATCGTAAGCTCGCGCTGCGCGGGCTCATAGCATGCCCAGAGCTGGGCGTGCTCGAAACGCGCGGGGCGCTCGGCCAGCTATAGTTCAATGTCCGATTCAGTTCCGAAGCGGGGCAGATCCAGAGGAGGCGAATCCGAACCCAAGCGAAACGCACCGGCAGTGGAACAGTTCGGTTCGGTTGCTGTCCTGAAACCACGTCGCGTCTCTTGCCGAGTGGGCCGAAACTCCGATGGGTAAGAGCCCTTGTGTGCATTGCCGGGGATGTGAGCCCCCGAGGCTGCGATCCTAGCGCGACTTGCGCTTGATTTGTACTTTCATGGCCCACCTTTCGTCGTAGCGTGCGAACTTGCTCCATGATCCATCGCATTCTGGACCATGCTGTCCTTGGCATCTGAAGCCTGGCCGAAGTGGCCTTGATCTTTAGCTCGAGATGCTTGGGCGCATGGCGCGCCCAATCGGGGCGCAGGGCGCGCGGCTAGCTTGAGCTCGAGATTGGACTCTGTTCCGAAGCGGGGAGGGCTCGTAATTGTGGAATCCGTTCTGGAGCGCGGGGACAGGGCGATCCCCTCCGGCTGGCCTAGACACGCGAAGGCGCATGCCAATCGAACGGGCGCCTGACGCATGTAATGTATCCTCGCCGCCCACGCGATGCTGAGCGCAAGCAGTTCGACGACCTCATGTTAGATATCTCCCTGGGTGTTCCAGACACGTCGAAACAAACATTTCGTTCGAGACGCACCCGACGGGGTCCGCGAATCAGATTCTTCGCTCGAGATGCCTTCGATTCTTCGCTCGAGATGCTCTCGCTTGAGACAAGCCAGATACAACAAGTGTTTCGCCATAGGCATTAGAGGAAATCCGCTGGCCCCCTTTGATAACTGCAGAGAATCATGCGTTTATGCCGCTTTCGGGAAGGGTCGGGGGGCAGCCGCGTGATTTGCGTGCCTCATCTCTCTGTCGTGTCAGGTTCGGCTGATCGATTTTGTCCAAGTTCGGGTGGAGTCAACGGTCCACGCTCTTACTCCTCGGGCGGTTTCATTCTTCCGCCTGCTGATTTCTCGGCGCGGTAGTGGTCATGGTGCTCAGAGAAATTTGCGGCCAGAGAACGAACTGTCCACGTTGGAGGCGCTTCCCGGCATCCGCTGCCGAGCCGTCGACGGAGTTCTCTACGACCGACCTCGAGCCAGCATTCGATTCTCGACAGACAGCTGACCGAGCAGGCCTCAGACTTTGACGCTCGAGCCCCGACCGTTTGTCACGTTCCGCACCTTCAGAGAGCGAGCGCGCATGGAACCGGGGCCCGCGGGTTGCAGCCCTCGATTTTTTAACGGCGTGGACCGCAGTCGAACGTGAGCAAATGGGCAGCGTCCTGGAGCGAGGCGCACAGCCAGGATGCAGTTCACTACTGCAGCGGTAATGTGAGGGATAGGAGGCAGAAGTCAGGACTGATGTAGCCAGCCTGCCTGTGAGGTTGTTGCGGGGCACGGCGCGTGGCGACTCGCTCAGTTCCCTCCCCTTCGACGCTCTTCTACAGCGCAGTGTGGGCCCGCTGGCCGCAAAATAGCAAGGGAAGGGCAAGGGGGCCCAGGTTGGGTTCGCCACCGCCACGGCACTCACTAACATCCGCCTTGCCGACGACGTGCTCCTGACTGGCCGCGCTTTTTCGCGCCTCGCGACGATGCTCGACGACGTCGCGCGCATGGCACAACCGCGAGGACTCGAACTACGCCCTTCCAAAGCAAGATGCTGAGCAGCGAGTCGAAGCGGACTGGCAGAGCTCGTTCGCGCGATAGCCACATAGCCACCCGCCACCGCGCGTGACAATTGTATTTCCAGACAAGCGCAGCGACTGCGACGATCTCTGTCGACATGTGGACATTGGGATGGATAGGAGGCCCTGGGTCGATCACATTCAGCGTTCTGCGTCGCGCAGAGCATCTCATGAAGCACCGCGGGATCGACAGCCTGGCGGCAGTTCACAGCCGCAAGTCGTGGCTCATGGCTTCTTAGGGTTGGTGGACGTGGAGAGCATTGCGCTGGCACCCAGGTGAGCACCCACGACCACGAGAACAACGGTAATCAGGCGGCCAGCGATAGCGGTGGGACGACGACGTCACGGCATACCGCCAGCATCAAAAACCAGACCTGTGCCCATCGCCAGCACCAGTCACCGCAAAAAGGCCCACCTTAGGACCTTAACTGGATTCAATTGGCTGAGGACATACCCGCTCGGTTGACACTCGAACACCCATGCGCACACAGTGCATGATAGCACGCGGCCGAGTTACGAGCTTATTTCGCTGGTTTCCACAAACAAGACTTCTTCTATCCCCCCTTCTGGGTAAACCCCCTTGCTTCTTTATGCATTTTTTTTCCCCCAAGAGGCCATGGCCTCCCCGACGGGTTCAGGTGTGTTCAGACGGCTGTCCGCAGTGGTGGTTCGTTTGTTCGTTCGCAGTTCTCTGTTTGGCGATCCTTCGGACACGGCTTGGAAGGCCGTCGCACGTGACACTCTCTGTTCCACTTGTCGAGGAGTTGTTTTGGGTTTAGTTTGGCCGTTGTGGAGTTGTGTCGGACTCCTGTTGGGCAGTCTCGGGGGTCCTTTGGGGCCGCTTGGGCAGTATACTGGGTCCCTCTTGGACCGTGACTGCGGGTCAGTTGGCGCCGTCGCGTGGCCGTTTTAGGGCCTTCTTGGGCCGTCCATGCGCCCTCCTATGCCGTCTTGGGTGCCTCCAGGGGTCCTCTTGGGCTCAGCTTGATGTTTTTTTTTGGTTTGTCCTGGCTCTTGTAGGGGGCCCTTTTGGGGCTCTCAGTTGGCCCGTTCGGGCCTTTGAAGACCACACGTGAACCGATCGTCGACATAAAAAATAGGCGTCGAACTCTTTGCAACAAGTTAATGGGTAACAGTGGTGTCCTTGGTCGGCCTTCTGGGGATCGTCATGGGGTCTGTTGAGGGTCTCTTGCGTGTCATTGGGCGCTTCATGAGGGAATGTTGGGTCATCCTGGTGGCTTGGGTGGCCTTCTTGCGCCAGCTTTGAAGGGTTTGGAGAACCCCGTAGGGCAGTCGGGCCGCCCAGGTGCCCTGGGGAGGCGTGGGCGATGCACCCGCGAGGAAGTATATCGAGGATTGGAGGTGCCCTTATCAGACTGGCAGAAACCCTACCAGACAGTACTTGGGACTTCGCCACGCTCCAACGTGCCACAGGACACAGTGGCGCATCTATCCTGGCAGTTTCTGTTGACGCGTGGTTCATGCTGTAGTTTTCTTTGCCACCCTTGCTCTGGCACGGGAAGCTTGTCAGCTTCCTCTTTGCCCGGCCATGCCTACTTCCATCTCGTCCTCGAGCCCGGGCTGGCCCCGGGCAGGATTCATGAAACCCGCCTGGTAGTGTGCTCCTGCTGCGCCCCGTCGCGATGACGACCGGGTATCTTCTTCTTTCGGCCTGCTCTGCTCTTGAATCTCCTGACGTTCGTGTTCTTCAGTGTTCTGAAGCACTCTGTATGTCAGAATGCTTGTCACACGGATGATGCTTTCTGTGATGATGCATTGGATCCCACTATCTAGACGACGCTACGATCATTTTTCCAATTTTTTCCACGCTGATCTTTTCATAATTCCTGCCGTTCTTCGATGTTTGTCTCAGCCGTTCATTTCTCTTCTGGCTACGACTCTTAATTTTTTCACATAGCTTTGCTCATTCTGCCCTTCGTGGAGCCTGCTGCAGTGAGTCTTGAAAGGATTCATTTCCAAACCCTTCTTGGGTCTCGTGCGTCTGCTTGTGTCGAAACCCCGTGTGCTTATTGCGGGTCTCGTGGGGTGACCTAGTTCTGATTTGGACCTTCCCGCGATTCAGGTCATTCGTTTGGTTTTCCGCTTGGGTTTTTGACGAGGAGAGTCTAACGACAAGTCTGGCGGTGCGAATAAAGAAGAGGGGTAGCAGAGGGGGAGGACGAGGTGGAAAAGGAGGTTGAAAGAGGAGAAGCCAGCAGGAGCGAGGAGGAATAGGAGGAGGATCACCGTTAGTCCAAGACGTATCAACGATGCTGCAATGCGCCCTCCCGTCCCAATTCCTTCTTGGCTCGTCCCTGCAAGCAGTCCGTCTCACTGCGGGAAGCGCCCGACTTGAAAGACGAGTGCCCTGTGGCCCGCAGATCGTGCGGGAGCTCCGTCTTGAGGGAACCTGCCCTCCATGCTTCAAGCTGGCAGGAGTGCGACAGGGTGGAGCTCTCAGGTTGACTGAAATGCCCGGCGACAGCTCCGCTTCGTATAAGAACCGCCATTCGTCCGATTCGCAATTCCAGGCGAGAGCCCCAGTTTTCAGAAGCAGCCGCCCACCATCCGCGTGACTGTTGGGCAGTGCTACTCTTGTGATGTTTGTTCGAGGAAGTCTCAGGCGAGACCCTTATTTTTCAGACTTTCCAGCCGCCATCTGCGTAGTTCTTGGATATTTTCAAGACGCATATGCGCGGCGCAAAGGCGAGAGCCACATTTGAAAGCCACTTCGATTCCACCTGTGTAACTGTTGCTGTTGGAAGCTTTTAAGCCGAAAATGCGCGGGGCGCTGTCAGAATCATCTCCGGCGAAAGGCTTGGGAAGCAGAAGCGCACGAGAACCCGTCAGTTTGCAAGCACATTTTAAGTGTGATACCTCTCTTGGGGCAGCACATTTTTCCGTATGCCAGTGGTTGCAGGGCCACGACTCCAGAGATGAATGGATTTTTGATCCTGAGCATCAATTTTCGCTGCGTCGTTGACGCACCACGACGCTGCTGAATATTGGCAGGACACTTTGAGTGTTGTTCATCGGGCGTGTTCAGTTTGAGCATCGAACCGTATGGCATGGCTTGCCATATTTGATGGCACCAGACATTTCGATCGTCTGAGTTTCTCCAGGGGCGGGCCCACGTGCAGATGCCTCTCTCTGGCCGGGTCCTCATGCCCCCGTTTCAGCCGGCCTTGTTTTGTGATGCTTCGTTGGATGGCGAAGTATACTATCGTTTCAGTGTTTTCATGATGTTTGTTCAATCTGAGCCTTTCATTGTGTTTCTCGTTGCCCGGTCAGGTGGTTCGGAGAATCATGGACAAGCGACCAGTCCCAGATGATTACGCTCTCTGTGGTGAACGCCCAGAGTGGGCTGTGTGATGCTTTTTGGGCCAGGCATTCGGGATCGTGTGTGACGGTATGATGCGCACACGAGTTGCAAGCAGGGGGAGCAATAGCACTGTCAGACATACTGCAGCGCGGAAGCTACGAGGCTTGCCAGTGTGCTCGTCTTGTTGTTCCCATCATGAGAGGCAGATCTCACGGTGGCGTCCAGCAGGAACATAGCAGCCACGTTGTACCGCGCGCGTGAAGATGCTACGCCAGACATGCGGTGGTCCAGTTAATGCTGGCTACTTTGTATGTGAGTGCGATGGCGCTTAAAACACGATCCGAGAGGGGGCCAAGGGGGCCCCTGGGGGCATTTCAGAAGTCTCAGAGAAAGGCGCCAGGTTTCTTGATACCGTCCTGGGCAGGTTTCCTTGTGATACTGTCTCGGGGCAGGTTTTGGTTTGTGATTGGTCAGTATTACGTTTGACAGTTTTTGAAGTCTGTCAGGAGGCCGTCTTTGGCGACCCATCGGGACCAGACAATGCGAGAAGGCGGACTGAGCAACCTTCTATGGTTTTCAATACTGTTGGCCTGTCAGAGGCACCCTTTGGAGGCTCGGAGACCACCTTCGATGATTGCTTGATCCCTTCTGCTTCCTTTCGGAGCCGTGCTGAAGGCCACCTGGGCCATCGTAGACCATCGTGAGCAATATTTTGCCCACCGTGGGCTCCTCAGGGCCTTATTGGAGCCATGCATAGCCGTCTAAAAGATTCCAACCGCCGGCGGCTGCCTGGGGCAGACCCTGGGGAGGGGGAGTGGAGAGGGATAAGCCTGCTCCTGAGCGGGAATCGAGGGGTGGTTCGGAAGAGCGGACTCCTTTAACCAACTACAACCTGAGATCTGGTGGGGCTTTCGCCGCATGCCAAAGTCCGAGCCTCGACTCCGGCGTGGGCTTTCAGAGTGGGGCAGAGAGGGGAGAGCTTTGTCTCTGGCGCGCCACCTCATTTGCAAAGTCGGGGGAGAGTTTTGTGGGATCGGGGGGAGCCCAGAGTGGCAGGTGCAGGCGGAGAGGTGATTTTGTGCACTCGCTGGTCGTTGAAGGTAGTTTTTCCAGATTCCCTGATCCCTATCTACTTCAGGCGCCTCCCTACTTCAAGAATCGATGTGCTTTTGCTGTGTTTGGTTATTCTCTGGGAGAGCCTGGATCCCATTTACTTTCCCCGCCTTCCTACTTCATGTTTTTATTTACGTCTTCGGACCGACGTCTACCTCTACTCGTGTATGCGTGTATACGTGTGCACAGGTGTGCGTCGTGCGCGTATCCGTGCACGTGTCTACCCATGTACTGCACCTGCTGAGGTGATGATGTCCATCGTCGGTCTGTGTCTCTTGTGCTGGTGGACGGACATATACAGAATCCTTCCAGGAGGGGCACGGGCGGGAGCGCAGGAGCCGACGATCGGCCGATTTTCTCCTCCTCCTCCTTCTCCCCCTCCTCTTCCTCCTCCTCCACGTCGTCGTCGTCGTCCTCCTCCTCCTCCACCTCCTCCCCCTCCTCCTCCTCCTCCCGGTGCAGCAGCTGGCTCATGGCTCCGGGAGCCCAGAGTGTGGCCCGTGGTGGCTGCAGGGTCCGGGGCGGCCAGGGTCGGGGGAGGTCGCGGTGGTTTGCGGGTCCTCCTCTCAACTGTGCAGTGGCACGACGAGGAGGAGTCGAAGAAGAAAAGATGGCATACATGTAAACTTTTGGCGCTCTGTGCGGATTTCTTTTATCGGCGCATGGGCCCCCTGGCGGCGCCTCCAGCGTCGCCCTGGGCGCGCTCCGCGCGCCAGCGAGGGGTGTCCAGCGCAGATCCAAGAAATCCGCGCGGAGCGCCAACAGTTTATGTTTATGGCGTTTCTTCTTCCTCTTCTTCTTCTTCTCCTTCTAATAATGGGCGCTGGAAGTGCACGAAGCTCGTTTAGGTACGTTGTGCTCGCCTGTTTCGTGGGGCACCTTTTGCGCCCTGACGTATTCCAGGTCTGCCTTTTGTCGGTCTTGCCGCTCCTCTCAGCGCGTAGCATCGTTGGCAGGTCTTGTAACGCGCTGCGTCAGGAGCGGGCGAGTGGAGGAAGTAACTTGGTGTGGCAGAGTGCAGCAGCGCATGCGCGCTTGCGAGCGCTGGCAAGGCGTCAGCGCCTCTGTGCGAGCTTAAATGTTCTCCCGAGGTGTGCTCTGCAGATCCGTGGATCTTCGGCTGTAGCTTGGGCAAGGCAGCCCACTTGGGGCGTTGATCCCATGCCAGAGCTTTCCTCGAGCTGTGGATGTGGCTCTGTGAAGCTCGCCTCCTGTGGGGGCAAGGGTACTTCAATCTCGCCTGAGGGCGAAGAGCGTGTGAGGCCATGAGCAAACTGGCCAGCCCACAAGCCTCCCGCTGTGCTCCGCCCGCCCGCCTTGGGGACCAGCTAAGCGCGTCTGCGGCGAGTTGACTTGACAGGTTTTTTGAAGGGTTGGATGACGTGTCTGGCCAGGAAGAACGGAACGGTCAGCGCGTCACGTGAGACATTGAACGCTCGGGATCCGAGCCACATAATGCCCGACCCGCCTCTTATCTGCGCATACCCACCGCCCTGAAGCACAGTCGGTCCCAACGCAATCCAGCATCTTTGTCTGTAGGAGCAGGTCTATCACCACACAAGAATGTGACATCTATCGCATGACGCCTCACTGCTGCAAGCCTTTAACTGCTTCGACCCCTATTCCACGTCATCTTGTGCTCCTTTCTTTTGTCTTTTCCGGCGGTTACCCTTGAGTGTCTTACTCTGTCGTTCTAGTACGCCCGCGCCCTACTGCTCTTACACCCTGATCAGCGTGAGCCGATGCTGAGCGTGGTATCGTCACGCGAAATAGTATCAGCGACGCACGGTGTCTGATCCTCAGCCAGCGTGTTCAAAAACCACAAACAGCGTGTTGCGGGCGAGTGCGAGTTGGATGTGTCACCGCGCTTGCCCACTCCCCAGAATTCGGCCAGCACGAGGCAGTAGGTTTCCGACCAACATGTTATGCCAACAAGAATTGTCAAACATACCCAGATATGGAAGTTGAAATCCTGGAACACGATGCTTTGGGGCACTTGCCAGAAAGCGCGTTCTTCAATGCTGGGAGGGTGGGGTCGGTTAACCCAGTGCCCCGGATAGTAAAGCCTCCCCCCCTCTTTCCCCCCTCTATCTTTTTCTTTATCCCGCGTCAGTAGGATTTAATTTTGGAGAGGGGCGCGGAGGCCGAACTTGATAATCCCTAGGGGAAGTTGTGAATCGAAGTTGCTATCATCTCATGTTGAGAAGCAACAGTATCAGGATGCCGAGCCTGAATGGGTGAGTGGATTGAGGTCGTGCGCAAGAGAGGTTTCTTGGCCAGGAGCGCCAAGGACCTCTCTTGCGCAGGCAAGTTGTAGCCACCACGAGCCTCGAGATCTCTCGAGTCAGTCTTGTGCCAAGATCTAGAAGGTTAGGTTACACGAGCGCCCAGGATCATCATCATCATCATCATCATCATCATCATCCTCATCCTCATCCTCATCCTCATCCTCATCCTCATCCTCATCCTCATCCTCATCCTCATCCTCATCCTCATCCTCATCCTCATCCTCCTCCTCCTCCTCCTCCTCCTCATCATCATCATCATCATCATCATCATCATCATCATCATCACATCACCTTCGGCGGGAAAATCGTTGATTATCCCCGCCAGACCCCCGAACTTTATTATCCCCAGGGGATTATTATCTGGTGCGCAGGGTTATTGGACAAGACCGCGTCCGAGTTAACATGCATCCGTCAGCATTGGAGTAGCGCTGACACCACAATCGCCGAATTCAGAAGTCTTCTGTTTATCCGTGAGGGCTTCGCCCCATGCCGCGGGCCCCCTGTCGAAGAATGGGAGATACAAAAGCTAAATCATGAGGTCTGGGCGCCGCCGTGAAGCAGTGTCGGGACCTGTTTGTTTTTCGGCCCTGACCCTCCGGATCTGCGTCACGGGTGCCACCGAATTTCAGAAAAGTGGCAAATTCCTTGTGTTTGTGGACCCTGACCTTACGGATCTGCGTGAGGGGTGCCGCCGAAATTCAGAAAGGTGGCAAACCCTGTGTTTTTTGGGACCCTGACCCTGCCGATCTGCGTGAGGGGTGCTACCTAATTTTAGAAATGAAGCAAATCCAATTGTTTTTGGACCCTGACCCCGCCGATCTGCATGAGGGGTGCCACCGAATTTCAGGAATGTGGCAAATTCCCTGTGTTTGTGGACCCTGACCCCGCCGATGTGGATGAGGGGTGCCACCGGATTTCAGAAATGTTGCAAATCCCTTGTGTTTTTGCACCCTGACCCCGCCGACCTGCGTGAGGGGTGGCAGCACATTTTGGAAATGTGGCAAATCCGTTGTGTTTTTGGACCCTGACCTCGCCGATCTGCGTGAGGGGTGCCACCGAATTTCAGAAAAGTGGCAAATCCCGTATGTTTTTGGACCCTGACCCCGCCGATCTGTGTGAGGGGTGCCACCGAATTTTAGAAATGTGGCAAATCCCTTTTGTTTTTGCACCCTGACCCCGCCGATCTGCGTGAGGGGTGCCACCGAATTTCAAAAAAGTGGCAAATCCCTTATGTTTTTGGACCCTGACCCCGCCGATTTGCGTGAGTGGTGTTAATTGTTACCCACCCCAGCAAATCAGACAACACGCTCACGGCGTGGTACAAATGCCCGTTTTGGGCCTCCCCCCCTCGCGCGGTCCATCAACATGCAACAGTAAGCAGCAAGAAGCATAACTGTAGCAAGGTACAGTAAGCAGCAAGAAGCAGAACTGTAACAGTGAAAACTGGAAGCTGCAACTGGTACAGGAAACTGCGAACCTTAGGCCTACAGCCTGGTGGCCCCAAAAGGGGGCCGGCGGATTTTTGACGAGGCTTGTAGTACCTGCTAAGTGTACGTCTGGACTGGATGCGTACTTTGCAGTCCTGGCTGCTCTTTGAGCAAATTGTTCGCCAGTGCCACGTCGTGTCTCCTTGTGTACAGCTGTCGCCGCTGAACCGCGAGGGCAGGGGGGTGAGTAACTTTCGCCATACACCCTGTTTACACAGGTGGATGATGATGATGATGATGATGATGATGATGATGATGATGATGATGATGATGATGATGATAATGATGACGATGACGATGACGATGACGATGATGATGATGATGATGATGCTGATGCTGATGCTGATGCTGATGATGATGATGATGATGATGATGATGATGATGATGATGATGATGATGATGATGATGATACGCGAGGAGGGGCCAGGAGGGAAATGAGAGGACTAGACCTTTTTGCTCATGCATTCTCTCATCCTCGTCCTCCTTTCCTCTCCTCGAGAGGGGGGGACCCAAGGTTGGGGGCCAATCCGCAAGTTCGATGCTGACGCCAGCGAGGCGCCGACCCTATCCACCTCTGGCTGCTGCCCCTTGGCCCGCCTGCTGCTGCTGCCGCTGCCTTGGAGAGGACGCGTGTGTCCCTACTTTCTATTCTCCCCTCCCATTCTCTCTCGCCTGTCCCCCCAGTCAAGGGAGGAAAAACCACCTGGACCCAACAGCTGACGTTTACGAAGCGGCCACGTGCGTTCACTGGACAGCCCTGCCCTCTTCTGATTCCTTCCCTGGGTGCGTTCACCAAGCGGGTTCGCTCGTCGGGATGATTATTCTGGGGGGGATTTTCCCCCCTTTGCCCAGGTCCCTCCTCCCATCCCCCTCACCCTCCCCCCCCCGGGCCTGCGCGCGCGTCCGCTCCGCCCGTCTTCCGCTTTCTCTTCCCTCTGCTTCCTGAGCAGCGGCTGATGCCGTGTGGCGCGCAGACCTCCGCACGTATGCGGGCAAGCTGGTGACTGTGTGAGTCGGTGGCGATTCACGGTCGGAATGCAGCGAGTTAAGCGGGCGAGAGAGAGAGAGCGAGAAGCATTCGGAGACGTCAGGGCCTCGGCTACTTGCTGGCCCGCTCTCGGCGGGGTCGTGCTCAGACAAAGGAGCACGACACTGATTCCCAGAGGCGAGTCCCACTAGACCGTCTGTGGGTCGACGTGCCGACAAAGCTGCCAATGTGCAACAGGGGCTCGCATCCAGAGGCGCGCTTTGCCGTTGCCTGCTGTGTAAACCCCTGTGTCCTCCCTCTTCACTTCTTCTCCCCTCCGCCCCCTTGTGTTGGTAAGATGTCGGCATCGGCATCTGCGGATGTCCTGGTCCTGATCCTCATCCTCGTTCGCCCGCCCCCTCTTCCTCCACGATTCCGCCGCATCAACAGACAGCGCGCACACGCCGCATTCGGACGACGACGCACAGCATCAGCAGACAAATCGCGAGCACGCACAGCACAGTCAGCATCAACGCCCACGCCGCATTCAATGATGACGAGGCTACATGACAAATGCAAATCATCACAGCACAGTGCAGGAACACTCCGCACAGCGGTGCAGCGATAAAAGCTTCAGTCACCGTATCAGACAACAGTTTTGGATAATCAAAAGAGCCCATCATCAAGCAACATTGAGCTGTATTGTCACAGTGAGGGAGTCGAACGGTCATTCACTGCCCCTTGGTGCGTGGCTGAAATGGGCTTCTACGGTGTGGCTGCTGTTGTTGCTGCTGCTGTTGTTGTTGTTGTTGTGGTTGCTGTTGCTGTTGTAGTTGCTGTTGCGGTTGTTGTCGTTGTTGTTGGTGTTATTGTTCTTGTTGCTGTTGTTGTTGTTGTTGTTGATATTGTTGTTGTTGCACTTGTTGTTGTTGTTGTTGTTGTTGTTGTTGTTGTTGTTGTTGCTGCTGCTGCTGCTGCTGTTGTTGTTGTTGTCGTCGTCGTCGTCGTCGTCGTCGTCGTCGTCGTCGTCGTTTTTTTTTTTTTTTTTTTGTTGTTGTTCCTTTTTTTTTCTTATCGTTTTTCCGTTTTTGGTGCTGTTGTTGTTGGTGTTGTTGTTGAACATTATTTATTCTAAAGAATAATTATTGTTGGGACCCCTGGTGCGCGGCCCCCTCGCCGCGCCTAGGCCGCAGCCACATTTTCATCATTTTCGTGAGGAAGTCTCAGGCAAAACGTGGGTGTCCGGATCCGGTTGTTTTGTTGTCCCCCGTTTTCCCTTGCAAAAAATAAGCTAAAGTGGACATTTCTTGTTCTAACATAACCAAACTTCAAGAATCCCTTGCAAAAAATAAGGTAAAGTGGACATTCGCGCGCGCAAGACGAAATCCTTCCAAAACCTTAGTGTTCGTAACGATTTTAACATAAAAACATAAAAAAAACCAATGGTTTTTCAAAAAAAAGTGTCAACATTTCATCCCGCGCGCTCTTGCGGATTTGTAGGAAACCCAACACTTTTTAAACATTTCTGTCAAACGGGCTTTTGCGAGCAACTTTTTCACGTGCTTCGAACTTCTCCAACAACGGTTGCGCACCTGCCAGGGCCATCATCACTGTCAAATAATACCATGCGGGACACATTCGTTTTTTCTTCGCGCGCGCACGCCGAAATCGTCGTCGGCCGCGGGGCCTGAATAGTAGCCACGGTCGTCCGCAGGCCACGAAGTGAAGTGTCCGAACGTCATAGGGCGGGAAGCTGGGTGTGGGTGGTGGCGAAGAGTCGTTTGGAAATGTGGTAGAGCTTGAACCGGCCCCCCCACAAAGTGGGGGTATTGGCGGGCGTCGTATGAAAACCCTGGCACTGGTGAGAACGGAGTGTCCCCACGTGCTAGTAATTGTTGTTGTTGTTGTTGTTGTTGTTGTTGTTGTTGTTGTTGTTGTTGTTGTTGTTGTTGTTGTTGTTGTGGTTGTTGTTGTTGTTGTTGTTATCGCTGTAGTTGTTATTGTTGTGCTTGTTGTTTTTGTTGTTGTTGAACTCTCATTCTTGAAGAATAATTATTGTTGATCCCCCCCCACCGGTGCACGTGGATTTTTTTGATTGAAGTGCCACCCCCGGGGCTCGCACTTTGTTTTTTCTCAAGGAAAGTCTTCCTGCTCAAACTGTGCCCCTGCCCCCCGGGCTACAACAACAACGGCTCCCGCCTGAGACTTCCTCGATTTTTACTCAGGACCCCCGCTCCCGCCTGAGACTTCCGCGCAATTTACTCAGGAAAGGCGCTCCCGTCTGAGACTTCCTCGCAATGTAATCAAGACCCCCGCTCCCGCCTGAGACTTCCGTGCAATTTACGTGGGAACGGCGCTCCCGCCTGAGACTTCTTCGAATTTTACTCAGGACCCCCGCTCCTGCCTGACATTTCCGCGCAATTGACTCAGGAACGGCGCTCCCGCCTGAGACTTCCTCGCAATTTAGTGAGGACCCCCGCTCCCGCCTGAGACTTCCGTGCAATTTGCTCAGGAACGGCGCTCCCGCTTGAGACTTCCTCGCAACTTAGTCAGGGCCCCCGCTTCCGCCCGAGATTTCTTCACAATGTACTCAGGACTGCGCTCTCGCGTGCGACGTCCTCACAAATTATTCTGGAATTGCGTTTCGGCGCTCAGGAACCACGCACGCGCCAAGGACGCCTTCACAACGTGGTATCTTCCCTCTTCCTTCGTCCTTCCCCCTCCCCTTCCTCCCACTCTCCCTCGTTCTTCCCCTCTTGCAGGGCCCGCGCCAATTCCAATGGCGGGCAGAGATATGTACGCCCCCGAAGGATTGTCCGCCCGTTCCGGTTTGCCCGTACTTCTAATCCCGCCGGCCCCAGCAAAGAGAAATAATCCCCCCGAAAGGGGTGTGATCGAAGACGAAGAGGGCGGGTATCGAGGGTGTAGGGTATACGTGTTGAACGACTCGCGGGCAAGTAAGAGCGTACAGCCTTAAAATGGTGGTTGTTGTTGTTGTTGTTGTTGTTGTTGTTGTTGTTGTTGTTGTCGTTGCTGTTTTTGTTGCTGTTGTTGTTGTTGTTGTTGTTGTTGTTGTTGTTGTTGTTGTTGTTGTTGTTGTTGTTGTCATTGTTGTTGTTTGTTTGTTGTTGTTGTGGTTGTGGTTGTTGTTGTCGTTGTTGTTGAATGTTCATTGCGAAACAAGTATTATAGTTGAACCCCTTACAGGCGCCCTGGCGCTCTCGCCGAGGCGCCGGCTGCATTTTCATTGAAAATGAGGCTCACGCTCGAGCGGTTTGGGGGACCGCCATATCCGGCCCCCCAACAACAACAACGCTCCCGTTTGAGACTTCCTCCTTTTTTTCTCAGGGCCGGTGCTCTTGCTCGCCGCCGAAAGCAGCCGTCTCAACAAAACCAGCGCTCCCGCTCGAGATTCCTTTCGTTTTACCTTGGACAGGCGCGCTACTCTTGCTCTCATCGGCGCCGCCCCCCAGCAACAACAACGCTCCCGCTCGAGATTTCCTTACTATTTTACTCAAGGCGGTGCTCTTGCTCGCCGCCGACAGCCGCCGTCCCGACAAAACCAGCGCTCCCGCCCGAGACTTCCTCCCGTTTTACGCTGGGTGCTCTCTTTTGAACTGGCGCCGCTCCCAGCAAGAACAACGCTTCCGCTCGAGGCTCCCTCCCCTTTTCCACAGGACGGTGGTGTTTTTGGCCGCCGACAGCCCCCGTCCCGACAAAACCACGGCTCCCGCTCGAGACTTCCTCCCTTCTTGGTCCAGGCGGTGTTCCTCCTCGCCGCCGACAACCGCCGTCCCAACAAAACCAGCGTTCCCGCTCGAGACTCCGTTTTGTTTTTCGCTGGACTAGCGCCCTACTCTCTTCAGCATCGGCGCCGCTCCGAGCAACAACAGCGGCCCTGCTCGAGACTTCCTCCCTTTCTATTCAGGGCCAGGTCCTTGCCTCGCCGCCGACAGCCCCCATCCACACCAAAGCAATCCTGTCGTTCGATACGTCCTTGTGCTTTACCCTTGGCTGGGGCTCCACTGGCGGTCTCGCATCGGCGCAGCAAGGCGCGGGCATGCGTTTTCGAGGCGGGATATGTTGAACTTCCTCGGAGGAGGTTTTTGCAAGACCTCATTGGGCGGCAGATCTGGGAATGGGAATAACGGATCCCTCTATAGAACAATAATCCACCATGGTGGGGATGTTATCATGATGGTTCCCTGCTTCGTGTGGAAACATCGCGCATGAGGGTGGAATGATTGTTGTTGTTGTTGCTGTTGTTGTTGTTGCTGCTGCTACTGCTGCTGCTGCAGTTGTTGTTGTTATTGCTGTTGGTGTTGTGGTTGTTGTTGTTGTCGTTGTTGTTATTGCTGTTGTTGTGGTGGTGGTGGTGATTGTTGTTGTTGCTGTTGTTGCTATTATTGTTGCTGTTGTTGTAGTAGTTGTTGTCGTTGTTGTCGTTGTTGTTGTTGTGGTTGTGGTGGTTGTGGTTGTGGTTGTGGTTGTGGTTGTGGTTGTGGTTGTGGTTGTTGTTGTTGTTGTTGTTGTTGTTGTTGTTGAACTCTCATTTCTGAAGAGTATTTTTTGTTGATCCCCACCCACC